TCTTGAAGTTCTCCATATGGCCGAGCAGGGCTCTCGTCAAAGTTGTGCTGCTCGGCCTGAACCGAAGATACTGCTGGCCATTGTCTGCTTCGTGCAACAAACCCTCGGCAACAGGGACCTTGGGGCCGTCCTTGTACTGCAGGATGACTTGCCGAGTCAGCAGCATGCCGTCGAGCCAAACCCTGCCGGCAGAAGAAGCTGCAGGGGCACGACTGGAGGAGTCAAGGCTGAAGCATGAAGTATTGCAAGTTCCACTTTGGAAGCTTACACATGAGCTCCTGCAAAAGATTGGACTTCGGAGTCTTCGGTGTCTGTATGAAGCGAACTTTTTTGCTTTCGTTTGCTGCCAATGGTATGCAAGTCTTCCTGCTTGCCAGGAATGTGAAAATGACCTCCTGCACATCCACTGCACAGGAGATCTGCCGAAGGAAAACAAGTCTGAAGTAGCCGAGCCATCAGCGCTTTCTCTTGCCACTGCCAGTAGAAGCTTCCGGCCTCGGCTCCACCAGCAACTGGTCGCCCATCTTCAAAGCAACCTTGTTCTGAAAAAACAGGAACCACCATCTCGCCGATCTTCTTCGTGGATCTGGTAAGGGTAGCACTCGTGGCATCCGGCGCTTCCTTGATCATCCAAAACGGGCAAAAGTAGCCGGTCTGCTTCTGGATGTCCCAGCGAACAGGCGAAATGACATAGCAGTGCTCTTTCATTCCCTTCTTCTGGACCACGACATCCTGGGGACGAGGCTTCTGCACCTTTTGCAACTGCCCCAAGGGAAACAGCTGCAGCTGGGACTTGCCGTAGGAGCAGTTGGAGAATAGCAGGCCGTTGGTGCTCGGTCTCACATCTGGATCACCCAACCTTTCTCAGGAGGAAAACAATAAGTTCGAAAAACATGGCTTACCAGAACAAAGTTCGAAAGAAATTGCTTATGAAAAAAGTTCGAAAAAGTGGCTTATGAAAAAAAGTTCGAAAAATGGCTTATCAGAAAAATTCGAAAAAACTGTCATGTGAACAATGAAGCTTATCATATACTGCCTGCTGCAGTTTGGAAACTCCAAGTACTTCTTGTAAAGAAGCCCTTGGTCTTCTGCTCGCTCCAGCTCCTCTTGGAAAACCGTGGAGCCACCGGGCCAAAGCTTCTCAAGAGCTGCCTCCTCAACCAAAGCAGGCACAGCTTTGGTCCATTCCTTCAGATGCTTCAGCTCATGCAAAGCCACCTTCTCGACCTGCACTTGGTCGCCGAAGAAAGGCCGATGCTCCAAGGTAGCACCGTCCTCCTTCAAGTCCTTCAGGACAAACACCTTGTCCTTCTCAGCCTCCACGAGCTCGGGCCTCTTGATCGAATAGGCTTTGCCTACCTTCACATGCTTGTTCTGCTCCTGTGCGATCAAAGTCCGATTGTTCGAGTCCGCTATGTCCCGGACCTGCTCCCCAGACGAAGCAGCAGCCTGGGAAGTCTTTGCAGAAACAGGCTGCAAGGTCTCCTTGGTGAACATCTCCGTCATGGTGGCAAAGTCCTTGTACTCCTTGCCCTCCATGCCCTTGCTCTGCTTGCCAAGCATGTGGAGAATGAGCCGGACCTGATAGCGGCAGAAGGCCATCTGAAGATGCGGCTGCTCCGAAGAAGCTTCGACCACCTGCCATGCTGTCTGCATGAGAGCCTCTGCCTTGCTCACATCGCCCTCCATTTTCTTTGTCTTCAGGCGATCGATATCTCCCTTCGTCAGCAGACGGCTGAAGCCGTCGACGACTGCACTGCTTGGTGCAGTGATCTGTGTCAATGCTAAAGCAATGCGAATCATGGGACATCTCGTGGAGGGGATCTTGAAGTCCGAGTATGCGAGGCACTTTGTGAACTCGGAGCCCAGCATCGTGCTTCCGGCATATGCTCGGCTCATGGCATCCATATATTTCAAGATCTTGAAGGATTCACCTGTGGGAACTGAGCCACGAAATCCCCCACCGCCTGAATATACGGTTTGCAGGGCGGGTTGGAGCTGCCTGCCGCTGCCACCGCCTTCTTCAAGTCCTTGCCGGCTGCATAAGCTTGCGAGATGCACATCGCGACCTCCAGCTCGCTTGGCGGTTTGCCGATCGCGAGGTCCGAGTTCAAGCCCTGCTGCAGTAGCCCCGGCAAGGCTGGCACTCTTTCCTCGACTTCCGCCGCCAGGACTCGCCAGCTCCAACCTTCTGTGAGAAGCTTCGCAAAGTCGTCCCCACTGTGCATGATCTCATCCAGTGACAAGCCACATTTGGGACCGCATCCGCTGGCCAGCGCTTTGACGAAGGCACTGGTGTGCGAACAGCTAAGAGTTGCCCACCTCTCCTTACCAGTTGGCTTCGCCAAGCGGCCTTCGGACATTTCGGCAAGGCGGGTGTTGATCTCGAGAAAGTGCTTGCGAAGTCCTTCGTCCCTCGGAAGTTCGATGGCTACCGCTTCTCGCAACTTCATGCGATCCCAGCCAACGGAAGAGATTTGAACGCCCTTGGACACGACATCGTGTGGATTTACGAGGGCACCGTCCATGGGGGTCGCAAAGGAGTCGTAGAGCAGGTGTCGCTCACGAAGCAGCAGCATGATCTTCTGGCATTTTTGATTTATGCTCACATCAGGCTGGTCGATCAGTTCCTGCACAGTGATCGCCCAGTCCGGAACGGCCATGATCGAAAACTGCGAAGCTATTATATGTGAAAGCTTGTATACTGCATGCAAAAGCAATTCCTTCCAGCATATGGTTACAGGCCAACATGCATGTATTCCCTAGAACCTCTGCTCCCACTCTTGCATCATGCATACATAGCTTCTCGCCGGAGCCAAATGCTCGGCCTTGGATCGGCAAAATTCATATCCTTCAAGCAACAAGAAACAAACGTGCCATTGCAGCCTCGATGGCTTGCAACCTTCCCTGTCCTTGGCAAGCCTGCACAAGCTTCCGGACAGCAGGATCAGCCAGCACGGGCTCTAGCATGCAATGTGCTTCCAAATCACTTGAGAATAAGCTTGCAAAAGCTTCCTGCTCGCTTCGAAAAAGCTCGACTAAAGACAGGTACACAGAGTGCACCCACACATCTATTTCGCAGCCCCTGTGACATTCATGATCTATTTGCCTCGCATACAAACTAAAATTCCATTGATGTGTTTTCCTAGAAACAGTCACCTGATTCACTGGTGACCACAGGTGGAAACTTGAAAAAAGTGTTTCACAAGTATGAAAAAAGTGATTTTATAACTAGTTAATAAAAAAATTAGAGTAGTTAGTTAACGAAGTTAACCAACCTAAATTAATAGATAACCCCCAGAGCGGCTAAGCATGCTGGCGAGCTCCTTGTCGGTCACTTTGCTGGGAAAAACCATACGGTGAATTGGAAAACCGTGCAGCATGACTTTTTCAAGCGGGCTAATGATCCTTCCAGCTCGTGCGGATACCAGTACGGCCCCAGGTGTAACAGTAGGCAGGGAGCCATCGGTCCGCACCCGGGCTCGGTTCACATTCTGGGATACATCCGCGACAAGCTCCTGACTGCCTGCATGCTTTGTGCAAATGATGTCCCAGGCATCACGCTCACGCGGCAAATGCAGGAACAACGTGTCTGCGCAGCAGGCGACTCCGCTCTCAGTGCAAGGCCTCCGACTCTCACTCTTCACCCGGCTGCCCTGCTGCATTGAAGCTTTGCACATCTTGTGCAATTCTTTCCACTTTGGAGCATGGGAGCCTGGAGCCTGGGAGCCTGGGAACCCACGGTTGGAAGCTTGCAACCACTTCCGTTTGCGGCTTTCCTGGTACTGTGCCACAGCAGGGTGGCTCGCCGGTAGCAGTCTATCCAAAAGATCGACTGCGTCTCCGGAAGCAACTGAATCCTGGACTTCCGCCCAAGCCTCACGAAGCCAGCACGACATGTCCTTTGGCGAGATGAGGCTCACATCTTGCCGGACCCCGATGAAGTAGTACCTAGGCCTCTGGATGGGCTCCTGTAGCTCGGCAGGGTTCATCAAAATCATTTCGACATGATAGCCTGTGGACCTGAGTGCCGCCAGAACCTTTGCAGAAACACGCTTGATGCCTGACACATTCTCCAGCACGAAGCACGAGGGCCGCACAAGTTGGATGCGTGCAACGACCCCATAGAATATTTGAGCCTGTTTTTCCTTGAGGAGCCTTGACTTATTGTGCAGCAGGCTGAACGGCTTGCAGCTGAAGCCGGCAATGTACAGGTGAACGAACGGTGCCTTGTCAGCATCCAGGACACTGTGGAACAATACCGAGGGCTTGGTATTAGCCTCGATAACCGACCGAGGACCAGCAGCCACCTCACTCCCAAACAAATGCTGGTGCGGGATGCCGAGCTCCCTAAGGCCATGGATCGGTGCATCAATGCCACTGCAATCAGTTCCCACCAACAATCTTTGTGGAAGCTTGGCCGCCCCGAGACCAAAACGGGCATGAGTGGCACCGATGCTAGCATCGGTGGCACTCTGAAAGCCGGACCCCCAGCCATCCAGCCACTGCCTCAAAGTGCCTGGAATCATGGCGGCAGCGACTCTACTGGGCCTTGGAGCCTGAGAGCCTGGGTGCCTGGGTGCCTGGAGCCTTGAATGCAACGGTAACGTTTAAATTGCTGCACTTGCTGACAACTTCAAACTTCGCGACGAGTGGCTGGCACTGGGACAGAAGCAACGGCGATGATCCCACCAGACCAGTACCCCTCAATGACCCTTGGATGCACACAAAACACCCTTAGATGCAGTGCCTGGCCTGATCGTTGCATCCAAGGGTCATCCGGGTGCATTGAAGGGTCCTTTCAAGTTCTGGTGTGTGCTTTGCTGAAGGAATACAGGTGGTACAGGGTGGGGTTTAGGATTTAGGTGGCTTGGTGTCCAGGGCTTCGAGTGTAACCTGGGTTTCAGCAATTGACCCTTGGATACACACAAAACACCCTTAGATGCAGTGCCTGGCCTGATCGTTGCATCCAAGGGTCATCCGGGTGCATTGAAGGGTCCTTTCAAGTTTTGGTGTGTGCTTTGCTGAAGGAATACAGGTGGTACAGGGTGGGGTTTAGGATTTAGGTGGCTTGGTGTCGAGGGCTTCGAGTGTAACCTGGGTTGCAGCAATTGACCCTTGGATGCACACAAAACACCCTTAGATGCAGCGCCTGGCCTGATCGTTGCATCCAAGGGTCATCCGGGTGCATTGAAGGGTCCTTTCAAGTTTTGGTGTGTGCTTTGCTTAAGGAATACAGGGGGTACAGGGGGGCTTTAGGATTTAAGTGGTTTGGTGTCGAGGGTTTCGAGTGTAACCTGGGTTTCAACAAATTATCGTCGACGAGCAACAATGTTTGAAGACTTGTATCAATCTTTGTGGAAGCTTGGTCGCCCCGAGACCAAAACGTGCTGGCATCGGTGGCACTCTGAAAGCCCGAACCCCAGCCATCCAGCCACTGCCTCAAAGTGCCTGGAGACGCACGGAGGGCTGGTAGACATGCAGCCTCAGGGGCTTGGAGCCTGAGAGCCTGAGAGCCTGGGCGCCTGGGGGCCTGGGGGCCTGGGGGCCTGGAGCCTTGAATGCAAAGCTTGTGCACTTGCACAACTTCAGACTTCGCGACGAGTGACTGGCACTGGGACAGGAGCAAAGCCGATGATCCGACCAGTAGAGCCTCCCCCTCATTGCAGGAACAATCTGACGGGACAACAGGATCCCTGGCCCAGATTTTGCCCCAGCTGGTCATCCGGGCGCATTGAAGGGTCCTTTCAAGTTTTGGTGTGTGCTTTGCTTAAGGAATACAGGGGGTACAGGGGGGCTTTAGGATTTAGGTGGTGTGGTGTCGAGGGTTTCGAGTGTAACGTGGGTTTCAGCAATTATCGACGATCAAGAACAGGACATTGATTGGAGTGCGGTTTAGGGTTTACTTAATTGTTTTAATAATTAAATTAGTTAAATAATTAATTTATTTAATAAAACTACAAATACAATATTTTTAAATATTATTTAATAGATTAAACTTTAACCCTAAACCCTAAACCCTCATGGGGGCTGTTAAGGGTTGAGGCCTTTACTGGAGTGGGCATTTTAGGGGTACCAGGCTTTAGGGAGCGGGGTTTGAGGCAGGGACGTCGGCCAGGAAGGGCTATGGGCAGGGTTTTAGGCTTACGGCGGGCTCATAGGCTTTGAGTTCAAGGTGATTTTAATGAATCGACTGCAGCCGAGTACCGTAAAATGGTGATAATCTTAAAGGGTTTAGGGTCTGGAATTTAATAGGGTCCAGGGTTTAGGGTTTAGACGATTTATGGCCTACTTTAAACAAACACGTTGCTAAACCCCGCCACTACCTCTTCTTTTAATTAATTTGTGAGGGGTTTGCCAAATTTTTCAAAATCCTTCGGAGCCTTGGAGCCTTGGAGCCTAGGGGCCCTCGCGGACGCGTGACGCGTGCGTGACAATGTGTTTCTGTCACGCTATATACGCGCATGTACGCTTCTGTCTGAGGGTCCGTGGACCGGTGCGCCGGCTCACAGCCGCTGCGCAGTCTCCATGCGTTTGTGGTCTGAAACTTCCAGTACCGCGTGTCTGTGGCGATGCCGTGCTGCCATATGCAGCCCCAGTTTGCCAGGACCGGCAATTGTACTCGCCGTATGGCCTCCAGGATTGGGAACGCAGACGCTGCATTGTCCCGTGGAGTTGTTGCCATACCACGCTTAGCTCGTCTGATTCGAGCATCGTGTTCATAGGGCTCAGCCCCGCGGCGATGCCCGATACGGGACATGCCTTTGTGTGAAATCCGGTTTAGGATTTAGGGGTTTAGGGGTTTAGGGGTCTAGGGTTTGGGGTTTAGGGGTTTAGGGTTTCAGGGGGTTTAGGGGGTTTAGGGGTTTAGGGGTTTAGGGTTTAGGGCTTAGGGGTTTAGGGGTTTAGGGGTTTAGGGTTTAGGCTTTACAGGGGTTTAGGGTTTTTTTGATGCGATGGCAGAGGGGTTTAGGGTTGAGGGGATTAGGGTTTAGGGTTTCGGGGCTAAGGGTTGCAGGGCAACTCCGAAGCAACAGGGTTTAGGGTTTGTAAGGATTTAGGGTTTGAGGTTTGTAAGGATTTAGGGTTCAGGGTTTGTAAGGATTTAGGGTTAGGGTTTGTAAGGACTTAAGGTTTAGGGTTTGTAAGGATTTAAGCCTTAGGGTTTAGGGTTTGTAAGGACTTAGGGTTCAGGCTTTGCAAGGATTTAGGGATTAGGGTTTGTAAGGACTTAGGGTTTAGGGTTTGTAAGGACTTAGGGTTTAGGGTTTGTAAGGATTTAGGGATGATTGTTTGGGCTCAGTTCTTGGAATGTCTTAATAACCCTTGAACCTTGACTTGAGTGAATAGATTATTTTAAATTAATTATTATGTTAGATTAAAACCCTTAACCCCCCAATCCTGGCTGGCCTGAGCGGGTCGTAGGGTATTTAAGTATTTAGGGTTCAGGGTTTGTAAGGATTTAGGGTTTAGGGTTTGTAAGGGTTTAGGGTTTGTAAGGATTTAGGGTTCAGGGTTTGCAAGGATTTAGGGTTTGTAAGGACTTAGGGTTCAGGCTTTGCAAGGATTTAGGGTTTAGAGTTTGTAAGGACGTAGGGTTTAGGGTTTGTAAGGACTTAGGGTTTAGGGTTTGTAAGGATTTAGGGTTTGGGCTTTAGGGTTT